TCAGCGCTTGATTCTGCCTCAAAGAAAGCACTGGCTAATAGTCTGTATCTGCGAGCACGCCGTTGGCTGATCGAAAGACATTATCTTTTTTAGCATGAACTTAACCCGTTTCTTAATTAGTAGAAATATAAAAATATTTACTTACCTTAGCAGGATATTCGCCATGAAAGTTTCCGCCTGAAATGACTTCTCCCTGATCAGCAAACACGATCTATTGAACATTAAGTTAAGGACTTTCTACCATTGGAAGAACTTTTTTCCGTTTTCTGGCCGCGCGCAAATTGGAGCGAAAGCAAAAAATATCGATGGAGCTTAAAGGGGCTGGTGCTCTCCCTCCAATTTGCGCGCGACCAGAATGCGGAAAAAGCTGCTCTATTCGTACGAGAACTCTTACTATGCAGGCCACATGTACTAGTATGTCGAAGATTCGTAGAGTTCATTGTAATAGCATCTGTAGTTGCCATTGAACACTTGTCTTAACGAACAAAAGAGTTAGTCTATTAGGCATCCTCTGCTAAAAAAAAAAGATACTGGGTTGTCTGTGGCACTGTTTATTTCTGTTGTGATCACGTCTTGCACAAAGTCAATGGTGTCATTCACAACTCCATGGACCTACAAATAAACAGAAAATGACGTGCTTCAAAAACAAATGATTTCATAAGAAATATACCTTAAAATTTGGATGAAAAGACCAAAGCGGGCTAACATTTTTACAAGAGACTTTTTGAAGAGTGCATTTTCGTGTTGTGGCTTCTTATCGGAAAGAAGTTTGTGTTTAAAATAGTCTTCTTTTGGTTGGACGGATTTTTGTTTTCGCATGCTCAGTTTTCCCCCTGTCGCGCGACAGTCTTCCGCGAGATGCGATCGACCTGAAACATTTCATTCTGATGACGTAACACTGTAGAGATCTGTAGCGTCTCTGATTGGTCGATACTTTCGCGAGGAAATTCATCGCTGGCTTAGCAACAATCAGTAAGTCAACCCAGTGTGGAATTTTTCGGGTCGAATCTCAGATGCTTGTCAAGAGAGCGCACGACGAGAGACAGATCTGTTTGGTTAATTAGGTTATTTTGACATGGCTTCTTTATTGTTACTGTTCCTGTGCAAGTATTCGAAAAGTCACTGACCTGTGGACAACAGCGCAATGTGTAGGAATCCTGAACGCGGTTACAGAATCTGTGACTTTCTGAAAGCAAATACAAACACAGTAAACTAGCTAAATGTTTAGTCCATCTAGCTGTTGTAACTTCATTTAACGTTCACACCTCAACATACTCTTTCCTTAGGACAAAACACCAGATAACGTTGCCCTTCTCTACCACCCTCTGCTTACCTGCGATCTCGGAGGGATACATGCTTGAATGAAGCAGAGAGCGCAGTCTCTCAGCGACTCGACGCTGACCAACATGTGGGCGCACTTGATGGATAACTAATGTTTCAAACAAAACAACGCTCTTTTTAGCAGACTCTGTCAAGAAAACGGAAGTTTTATAAATAACTTCAATTATACTTACGAGCATCAAAAGCTCTCGAGGTTCCTTTCAACACTTCAAGCGACATGGCAGCGATCACGTCGGCCTGCTTGGCTATCAGCCGAGCTCGTTCAACAGCTAAGAAACGAAAACAAAACATCATTTATGGGGAGTGTTTAAAACACGAAACAGTGAAATGACGAAATGGCATTACGAATAAGAGTTAATGAGGGAAAACGGGTGTCTGTAAGAGTTAAATCTCTAAATTCACGATTGTGAGCTAACAATGTCAAGGCAGTGATACTTAGGCTAACCTGAGCGCCATTTTGGCTAGCTAAGGTGCTATTTAGGCTAATCGTCGTGCTATTTTGTAATTTCCCCATTTCGTGTTTTAAACACGCCCCCTTCTATATAACACTGTAAAAGCGCGCGCAGTCTTATTAAATAAACCCATTTTAAAAACTACAATACGTATTTGGGATTACGACCAATGTCAAATATTTTCAGTCGTCCACAGCTTGTAGAGGTATGACACCTTGTAAAGGACGTTACTGATAACTTCACATTACATAGATGTGCGCGTTTTCAATTTGCCATGCATTAGTCTGCAAGCTGCCCGGGAAGTACGCGCAACAACGACTTCGACTTACTACGCGACAAATTGCAAAGAAAACACTGTTCGTATCATCTGGTCTATGCGAAGAAGTAAAACAACAACAGCAAAACTGATTAAAAATCGATTGTGTACTCACCTTCTGCCCCAAGAGAAGTTATCAGCTGAGTGCCATTAATCAGAGCGAGTCCCTAAGAAAAATGAAATTCTCAAAGGTTAACATAATATAAGAGGAGCTCTCCAAATTTTGAAAGTAATGCAGAAGGAAAAAAAAACCAATATATACATATAGTACTCAAGATAACTTACTTCTTTAGGTTGCAACTCAAGAGGCTCTAAACCATACGCCTTGAGAACCTGACAAAGATATTACGGTTTTTTTAGCATTAGGTATTAAATGTTCTTACTTCAGTGCGCGATGATAAAACCTTCCCTTAAACTAAGTCTGTGGATGAAACCCTAGTGTGTGTCCATTCAAATCAAAGCTATTGATCATTACTTTCATGTCGTACTGTTTATTATGCTGTACAAGGGGTTTTAACTTTTGAGCAAGTCTGTGGATGAAACCCTGGTGTGTGACCATTCAAATGACTGAGATGAGAAGCAGTACTTTCACGTGGTACTGTTTATTATGCTGTACAAGGTGGTTCTAACGTTTAAGCTAGTGTGTGACCAAACGAAAGCTATTGGGCAGTTCTTCAAGTTCTTTGATGTGGTACTGCTTTTTTCCGAAAGTTCTAACTTTAACTGACACTTGTTGAGGAAAATCTAGTGAGAGCATTCAAATGAAATTTGTTGATGGGCAGTACCTCAGTACACCTGTTGACCTGTTACACGTTGTGGTATTTGTTTTAATTTACACTTCTCATAGTTACATACAATTTTTAACCAATAGGAACTTTGCGCGCTACTATATGCTACTCTATTTACTTACCAAGCCAGCATCAGCCCAGCCACTCTTTGGACTCCACATTTGTCCTTCTCCCAACAAACCAAGAGCCAGATGAGACAACGGGGCCAGGTCACCACTTGCCCCCACAGTACCCTGCTCAGGAACCCACGGCAAGCACGATTCTACATTCACACAAGAAATAACAGTTCTAAGCCAAAAACGAGGAACTTGTTAACGCAGGATTAGGGTTTGCTTGCAAATCAGTTCTAAAAGTTCTCAAGGGTAATTTACTCTCCATCAGTCTTACTTTCTCAAGGCGCAACTTAAAGTTAACAGGACCGGAATAGATTAACATAAGCTGCAATATGCTTGTCTATCTTTGACTAAAGTAGCTTCCATTGCATTGACCGTCGAAAAAAATTGCTTTTGCTCTAGTTTTGTGCTGGCCAAAGCCTGTGAGATTTGTGTACAGTGGCTTAACCAATCAAAACAAATCCTTTGCCTTTTTCAACCAATGGGGAGCAAAAGCTCTCAGCCAATTGTAACTTAGACTCGCGCGTTTCCCCGCGTTTCGCGAGGACTGTACGTTTCTGCTTCGAATTCAGATTGGTTCAGAATTCGGTAGCTGTGGTTTTACGAAAGTCATTACACTGTACCAAGACACTGCTACATCCAACTAAACAACGGAGTTAGTCAGCAAGGAGTTGATGTTCATACCATTAAAGGCTGCCACAAGCTGTTTCAACGTCTTGAGTGAGATCCCACTGAAACGAACACAAAGTGTTATGATAGTAAATTGCACATAATATTTCTCCTTAAACCGAGTCCCGACTGAAATGCCGAACTTAACAACAACGGCAATATATTCATAGTTAACGAATCGTTAGCAATGATCAAATGTACTGGACTATAACTGTTATCACTAATATATCAAATCAAAGATATTTTTTGCTCTTTAGTTCAGTAAGGCTTTTAGCGCCTTTACCAAACAACACCCGGGCTCGTTCTTCTTTTATTTTGAACATTTCTCTACTACGCGAGAACACGAAACAAGCTTTACTAACCTGTACCCTTTTGCCAAAATATTTATTCTCAAAGCGAACAGCATTCGAGTGTGCTCCGTTGACAAAGGTGGGCCAACACCTGAGATTTGGAAAAAAAATTAACAAAAAAACAACTAAGATTATGGAGAGTCAACACAATTATTTCACCTTAGAGCTTAGCAATTACAACAATAAACAAGCTGTATTTGTTGGCAGAACGATTTCCAGTATTTTTAAAGACTAATGCAAAGGGAGAGAAACATTTTCGTGTCACATGAATTGGCTCCCTTTGTTGCGTCAAATCATGGGAATTCGAAGTTAAAGTTTTCGGTTCGCTTGCGCTAAGAAATTCCTCTTCAAGACTTTAATCAGGAAACGAAACCGGGTCCACAATTTGTAAAAATGGCGCGCTTTTATCCATCGCGGATTCTCTCAGTCTTCGATTCGTTTCCAGCTTGCTCTTATTAAAAGCAATTAAAGTTTACACCATGGTGAGTTAATGGTGACAGCCCCCGCTTACTATTGTCAAATGGGACCTAACCAGTATCTATGGCTTTGAGCTGAACGAAGACCTGTTAGCAACTAGAAAGTTTCCGCTTTAATTTCACTCACGGGTGACAACAGCAATTTCCATGATTTGAAACTTTTAAATTTGTGCTATTCACCTTTTTTTTTTTTTACAATGTTAGTTCAAATAACGTGTTCACTTACCGGCGGCATGTGATCTTATAAGGTTTACCTGTAGCTCCCTAAAAGCATGTTACAAGAAAGCGATTAACACACAGCTTGTACGAAAATCGAGGGGTAGAAGGGGATCGTGACCCACTCAAAAGTCAAGGCGCACAGTATGGTACTGAGAAGTACGATTTCTATTGGTTAAAAACCGTGCACTAGCCACTCGATCTTCCAGTGTCAATCAATTTCGCACATACGTATTACCTTGACACAAGCCATTAAATCGTTGTAGCCTTCACTGCAAAAAGCATGTCTGTAAGCCACAGAAACTCGATTCTGGTCGTTTTTGCGGGTTTGAAAGTTTTCCGATCTTGCACACACATTTTCACGTGGAAAGTGCGACCGGTGGTCAACAACTGCATTCACGTTGAGCTTGACTCCAAGTTATGGGTAAGTATTTTTGTGTGCCGCGTGTACAGACTAAGCTGCAACCGACGATACAAAAATTAAAATCAAATTAAATCACTTATGCTTACTTAAGTTTGTCACGGGGGATTACCACACTTGCAAATTTCCCGAATCCCGTTGTTACACCATACACCACTACAAAGGAAAAAAACAACAACCAAAAAAGAAACAAACAAAAACAAAAATTAACAAAAAAAAAAAAGGTCAGATTCTGGCATGTTCTGAACGGTAGACTCTTGCCATTACGTTTGGCTCACATGGCACGTGCACAGGCTTTAACCACCCGGATGTTCCCAAAGGTCGAAAGGAGGGGGAGAGCGTCAGTTCAGGGGGAAGTATCGGACCTCAGAAGCCCCGCAATTTCTTTCTTTTTCCTTTTCTTTTGTTTTCTTTCTTTTTTTTTTTAATTTGGAGCCCTGAACAGCCCAGAGATTTTCTGTGCTTGGCACTTGGCGACAACTGAACTGTCGATCATTCTTTCTGAGAGCCCCAGGGCAATGCAATTAACGGATCCAAGCTACTGCACATGTCTTGTGGCCCTCTAACCGCCCCGAACCCATAACCCTTTTCAAATCCTGGACGTTAGCAAAGGACAAGAGCACTACGATCATAGTCAGGGCTGTCCTTAAGTCTTAAGTCACCTGTAGCCTTGTTCTCCACACCTGTAGCAAACGTGTTACTTTGTGGTTGAATTCTATCAACAAAAGGCAATTTTCACTCAAATACCTTTATTTTCACGAACAATGTCATCCAATAGTGCCCGTGATTTATTGACGTTATGTTCAGCCTCTTCTGTCAGCTAAAAAACAAAAGAGTCGTAATGACGCTGAAAACGTTGGGCTGGGCAAATGAAAGTACTTAAATTTTAGTCGTAAGATCCGGGTGTCCAGATTGACAATTCTGTTACTAGAAGGGTGAATTTTCATTCAGTAGATCCCGTTGTTAGTCAATCCCGACAATCTCTCTAGCCTTTTTACAGCGGTCCAATCCAGTCGTTTGATTATTCGTTTCTTCGTTCGTTCGTTCGTTCGTCCGTCCGTCCGTCCGTCCGTCCGTCCATCTGTCCGTTTGTTCGTTCGTTCGTATGTTCGTTCTTCCGTTTGTTCGTTCGTTCTTTCTTCCGTTCGTTCGTTCGTTCTTCCATTCGTTCTTTCGTTCTTCCATTTGTTCGTGCATTCCTTCAATAGACCATTTTACAGTTGTCTGTTCAGTGACCTGGCCTTTGAATGGCAGTGAGGCTGCACATGACCTTGTTTTGATAACGACCTCACTGCTTTTGTTGTGTAAATCAAGTTGTTCTTGTGCTAACAAGTTAACATTTAAATGAGAAAAGCAAAGAGGTCTGTATCAAAGCAAGGTCACCTCTGGCCTAGCTTGCATTCATAGGCCAGGCAACTAAGCACGAACTGTAAAATGGCCTGTAATACTTTGGCTTCCAGCTCTCCCCTAACACCACTCCTGGAGGGGCATTTACATGTTCCTGCCAGGAATTATACTTCAACGATCTGCACGCATTCTAGACCTATTATTAATTACTCAGTCACATACCCTTATTTTTAGTTTGCCTTTTCCCAGTGACACAAGAGTTTCAGTTGACAATGAGCATCCATCAAGCTCCACAAACTACCGAAAAAGACAAAGCCATCAAATTAAAAAAAATATCCGTACTCATTACACTCTTTTCCTTTTTTTAATTTCACCACCCCTCCCCCCCCCCAACAAAAAAATAAAAATAAAAAATAAAATATAAAAATACAAATTAAAAAAAAAACCAGTTTCAAAATAAGCTTTATAAGTCCTATTGCCAAATCCCCCAGTTCGGCTTAAAAGATTACTTTAGGTTGCAGACCTCTAAGAATTGATCAGGGCTGTAGCTAGTAACACGCAAATCGAGGCACTTGACTTTGATCATTGCTTTTTTTTTTTTTGTTTTTAATCATCATAAACACCCTTAATACCTAGGGAGAGAATAAAACCATGGCTTCAACCTCAGATATAATCTTTTTTCTGTCTACAGCCCTGAAAAACCTTTCTTAAAATATTACCAAACTGACAGTACTGAATTATATTCAATTACCTGGACATGGTTCTGACTGTTCTCTGCCACCTCCTTTCTGCAAATGTGAGTCAAGGACCAGAACTACAATAAACTGCACACGAGATTGCCCTTGATACTTCTCAGGGAGGGGGGGGGGGGGGG